GGGGGGGGTGCCACTGGGTGGCCGGGCATCACCGGGGGTGGTGGTGTGACCCTGGATGGCTGGTGCATCACCAGGGGTGGTGGTGTGTGTGTTCATTCCAACAAAAAATTGACTTTTGAGAATCAGGTGTCCCCTGAGATCCCAGCACCCAAGTAAAACTGGGAAGCATGGCTCATGCCTGTAATCTTAGCCCTGGGGTGGGTGGGGCAGGGGATGACTAAGGCAGGAAGGTGTGGGTTCAAGGGCCACCCTGGGCCACATTTGAATTCCAGGCCAGCCTAGGCTACATAGTACCTGGGGGAGCAGGGAGAAGTAATTTTAAAAGTTGGGCTGGGGATGTAGCTCAGTGGTTGACTGCCTAGAATCCACGGTCATGAGCTCTACCCCCAACCCTGGGAGAAAATAAAAAGGAATTTTTAAAAAGTGTTTATTCTTCAGGTGTGCCACACACCTTTAATCCCAGAAGAGGTGTGTGTGTGTGTGTGTGTGTGTGTGTGTGTGTGTGTGTGTGTATGGGGGAGGGGAGTGTTCACGTGTGTGTCTGGGCCAGAGGTTGACATCAGGTGTTTTCTTCTATCTTTCCCACCTTATTTTTTGAGACAGAATATCTCACTGAATCTGGGACTTACCAAATGGGCAAGACAAGCTATTGGAGAGCCCTGAGGAATCCTCTGTTCTCCACGTTTGCAGGGCTAGAATCACGGGGGTGACCCCAGCCCAGATTTCCCCTGCAGTGCTGGGAATTTGAACTCAGGTCCTCAAGTTTGTGCAGCAAGTGTTTTACCAACTGAGACATTTTACAAGATCCCCAGAAGACCTTGTCTAATGGAATGAAGTTCTGGTACATCTTAGAATACAGATACGCTTTGAACACATCATAATCAGTGAAAGAAGCCAGAAAAGGATTTGCCAACCAGATTACACTTAAATGGAGCACCAGAAGTAGGAAAATCCCTAGACTCAGGAGAAGATGGGTGGGGCCAGGGAGGATTCAGGGAGCTAGGACTGATGTTCTTGTTTAAGGGTCTGAGAACATTCTAGAAATGGATGTGTAAAAGTAATCAGTGCCATGGAACTCATTAATATAGACGATTTCATATTGTGTATATTTTACCACAGTAAAATAACTAGACATAAAATATAAAAGCATGCATAATACCATTAAACTTATACACGTGTCCAACATTTTGTTATTTGTTATTTACAAAGTTCAGACTTTTAAACAGCAGAGTCAAGTTATACACACAAAAAAATGCAAAAACAATCTCAGAATGTTTGAAGTAAGTTTGCAGTTTTATGTTGGGCCACATTCACAGCTACCCGTGGGCACATGCTGGACAGGCCTGCAAGAGAGAGTCAAAGGAGCCCTTCTGGTAGATCAAGCAAGGAGCAGCAGGGGGTTGGGATGGTGCACCTCAGGCTGCAGGGGCCCAGGGACCTCTCAGGATGTGATGCTCCTACACAGCCCGATATAGAGACACCCCATCTCCGACACAAACAAAACAACAACACCACAAAGAATTTGGAGTTGACTTAGAACCATCACAAAACACACCATCCTGTGGTCCTCATGAACACATCCAGGACAGTTTTTGAGACACTCTCATCAGCAAATGCTCCAGCCAGCTCAAAAATGCTGCACAAGTCCAGTCAAGACCTCAGAGGAAACCCAGTCAGGTGCACGCATGGGAAGGTCTGTCTAAGAAGCGGGACAGTCATCGTAGGAGGACATACGGGAGTGGGTGGGCAGTTCCCCTTACACGGATACAGCGGCTTTTGGTACAAGGAAAACAAACATTGGCCACCCAGTGAACTGAACTCACTGTTCTGCCAGGGATGGCCACACTGCGTCTGACTACTCACCTTATCTGAAGCCTGGGGCCCAGGAAGTGCAAGGCCAGCGTCCAGCAGAAAAAATAACAGGGCAGGCCTAGAGGCTCGTCTGACATGCTTCCACCAGCCTGTTCGTGTATGTGTGTGTGTGTGTGTGTGTGTGTGTGTGTGTGTGTGTGTGTGTGTAAGTCAGAGGTCGACTTTGAATGTTTTCCTAACACACACACACACACACACACACACTTTTTTTGAGACTGCATCTGTCACTGAATCTGCAGCTTGTGAATTTGGCTCGTGAGCCTCCCGTCTCTGCTTTCCCATGGCCCGGTTACAGGTTACAGCCACACCTGACTTGTGCCATGGTTGCTGGGGATGTAGCAAGCACTTTACCGACTGAGTCAATCCCCAACTCAGGTCCAACTCTGACTAAAGGATTTGGCTTGGTTTGACTCACCCACACCTTGGACCTTCACACTTGACCCTCAGTCAAGCTGTCTCCATATCCCGTGTACCTGTTTCTTCCTGCTAGGCCACTGAGGTATCACCTGCAACCAAAATGGTGTCCCTTCCATACACCCCTCCCTGGGAACCTCACCTCCTGAGTCTACAGTGGAAATTCAGGGACAGTGTCCACTCCCTAGTACCATCACAGCCTCTCAGCTACGCAGACACTCACCCATAAGGTCATCTGGCATGGGCCTAGCACTTCAAGGACAGCCAAACCCTGGAGGCCCAGGCCGCTCGCCTCCAGTGGCTCCCCCTTCAGGCTGGTGCTGGTGTTGCTGGAGAATAGGTAGGTGTATCTGGTGCCCACAGGGAGGTGTGGCTCTGCTGTCTCTGGAACCAGATGGAAGGAAAAATGTCACCTTAGCAAATGCCACCCAGCATTGTTCCCACCTCCTCTTTCCATGGAAAAGCCAGGGAGCAGCAGACCCCCTGAAGGGCTCAGAAGAAAACAAAGACACTCACAGAATGTGCTTAGCCTTGGCTAGGCTCTCTTCTTTCAGGATGTGTGGGTATATGTGCACACATGTGTATGCGTGTGTGTGTATATGCACATGTGTGTGGAGGCCAGAGCACACCTTAGCTGTTGTTCCTCAGGCACCTAATCTTGTCTTTAGACAGGTTCCCTCACAGGCCTGGAGCTCCCTGACTCAGCTGGGCTGGCTGCTCGAAACCCCAGGACCCAGGCAATGGGCTTCCCGTGTGAACCACTATACCTGGGTGGTTTTGTGTGGATTCTGGCGGTTGGACTTGGATCCTCACGCTTGTTGGTAAGCATTTTACTGACTGAGACTTCTCCCTGCCACCCACCCCTCAAGAGGGTGTTCCTTACCTTCACCACTTTACAGAAAGTGGATGTGAGACTCAAACTTATGTGGTTAACCAGTTTGGCAAATGCTACGTTCAAGCCTCGGCGTCTCCCGCCAATGAGATGGCTTAGAGGGCAAAGGCCATTGCCAACAAGCCTGAGTTGGATCCTTGGGACCCAAAGGTAGAAGGGAAGAACTGACTCTGAAATTGTCCTCTGACCTCTATATATAAGCATGCATGCACCACCCCCAACACACACACACACACACACACACACACGCACACGCACACGCACACGCACACGCACACACACACACACACACACACACACACACACACACACAATTTAAAGTAGTATAAATAAACAAACGGAACAACCCTGGCAGCCTGGCTCCTCCTCTACTACCTTGATGAATATAAAGTAAGATGGGCTGTCAGCTCCATTTTAGTAACAATCCAGGTGGCCAGCCTGGACCGGGACGTCTTGCTGGGGATGAGGAGGAATTGCTAGCGGGAAGAGTGGTGTAAGGAATCGAGGTGACTGGAATTTTTTAAGCCCACCTGATGGAGAAACATGAACATTTCATTGTCCAGTGTCACTCTGTCATAGCCTCAGGTCCCCAGGATGCGTCTCTCTTTCTTACCAATTTGCTCCTAGAGTTTTCCAGTCTATTCCACCCCGAAACACACAGGGACGCAGGACCAAAGACAGTGATCCACTTGGGGACTCTAAGGCAGAAGGACAGCGTGGCTTGGGGCTGGGGTGGCGTGGCTCTCCTCCCACTGGTTTCTGGGAGCACAGCCAAAGGCCCCATGGGACTGTCCTTCACCCCACCTTGTAGCTCTGCCATGCTCTACATCACCCTTGTTCTGGCTCTGCCTCAATGGCCTAAGACTCCTGGTTAGAGGCGTGACTCAGTGTCCCTGGGAGACGCACTCACCTTCGCAGGCCACCATGCAGGCCACCTCCTGTCCAGTCTGCGAGTCTGCAATTTCTGAAAGCACAATCAGAACAAGGACAAGGTGAGGCCACCCACCTGCTGGGCGGGGGGAGCGCAGGGGAGCCCGCCCTTCCCCAGTTTGGACACCAGTACCAATGCCCCCGATGGCTCAAGCAGGTGGCCTGGAGGTCCTGTGCGTCTCTGCTTCCTTTTTCTGCCGTAATCCCGACTCTGAGGCATCTGCACCATGAGTTCTGTCAACTCCACCAGCTGCACTAGTCTTTCCTCCTCTGTTCCCTCCCCCCTACACCCTTCTCTCTACCCCCCTGCCCACCCATCCACAGGGCTGTGGCTCCAGCCAAGCTACATCTTCTCTTGCCTAGACACCAGGAGAACCCACGGCCACAGGGAGACGGCGCAGTCAGTAAAGCACAAGTGTGAAGACTGGAGTCTGGATCCCAGAACCACACACCAAGTCAGGCACGGTGGTGCACACTTGCAACAATCCCAGACAGAGGGAAGAGAGTCCTGGGCTTGTGGCCAGCCAGTGTAGCCTTCTTTGTGAACTGCAGGCCAAATGCAAAAAGCTAACTCAAAAAACAAGATGGATGATGAAGGATGACACCCTAGGTTGACTTCTGCCCCCTACTTGTACTGGTACACATGTCTCTCTCTCTCTCTCTCTCTCACACACACACACACACACTCACATAGGGTGTGTGTGTGTGTGGGGGGTCTCCTTCTCATTATAAAATCTCAACCACAAAGCCAGCCTCCACCTGCCCCCTCTGGCCACGCCCACTGGCTCTCACCCTCTAGCCACCCCGGGGCTGCTCTGGCCACGCCCACTGGCTCTCACCCTCTAGCCACCCCGGGGCTGCTCTGGCCACGCCCACTGGCTCTCACCCTCTAGCCACCCTGGGCTGCTCTGGCCACGCCCACTGGCTCTCACCCTCTAGCCACCCTGGGCTGCTCTGGCCTTTGCACAAGCTGTTCTGTCTGAACACTGTTCCTTCTGCTCTCTGAACTTCAGGAGGCTTTCCATCCCAGAAGAAATAAATGCCTCTCCCCAGACCCCTTCTGCCTAGAGAAGGTCTTTGCTTGTCCTTCTCTACTTTAGCACTTTATCCATAACTCTTGTAAAATCTGTTTTAATTATCCTGACTCAGTTAACTTTGTAGCCTTCAGCTTCTGGAGAAGAATTCAGCACCCAGTAGAGAATGAAAAGGTTGAGTGAACAAATGAGCTCCAATCAAATTATATATTTTCTGACAACCAGCAAAGGTCGCCATCATTTATAGACAGAGGCTGAGACCTCAGGGACCTTTGCTAACTCATGGCTTGTTAGCAAAAGAACCAAGTTCCTACACAGCTGGGCCCATTCCACAATCTTGTCACCTCTCTACTACAAATAAGGATAAGTAGGGGCCAGCGAGATGGCTCAGTGAGAATACTTGCCCCCAAGGCCCTATGGCCTGAGTTCGATACCCAGGACTGATACCATGAAAAAAACCCAACTCTTGCAAGTTGTGATCTGACCTTCACTTGTGTCCCAGGGCATGCAAGGCTAACACATATACACACACACAAGATAAATGACATTTAAAATTCTTTAAACAGTTACGCTAAATTTAGGAAAGAGTGGCCGGATGAAAGTGGTGGACAGATGGATGGAAAGGAGGAAGTAAGGAAGGACTGAAGGACAGATGGACAGGTGGATGGATACATGGGTGGGTAGGTGGATGGAAAGGAGGAAGTAAGGAAGGACTGAAGGACAGATGGACAGGTGGATGGATACATGGGTGGGTAGGTGGGTGAATGGGTAGACAGACAAACCAAGAAAAGCCAAGGATCTGTGTCAGACAATCAATGCTATGACACAGGGCATGCTGAGTGTGACCAGACACAGCACAAGCGAGCTGCAGCCGCCCTGCAAGCTGCTGAAGACCCCAGGAAAGGCCCAAGCCTTCTTATCCCCCACAGTCCCACCTCCTCCAGGTCCCATCCATGTTCCCTGTGGTCAGAACACATCTGCAGCTTTCCCACAGCGACTTTTCCAGAATGCCACTTCCATCCTCAGCCCCAGCACCTCAACTGTTGGCCATCACATGTTCCAGTCCATGTGATCCCTCAGGACACACCCCACATCCTCACCATGGGAAGTGTATTTCTCACCGTATCACTTAGACCTTTACAAAGACCCCGACATCACAGACTATCTGGAAGGGTTGCCCCTCCCTGATATTTCAGTTCGTTTACCAGAACCCTCTTTCCAACAAAGCAGAATATCGGAGGGGAAACCCACACCTGAAAGACATTTAGCCCAACTGATTTCCTCCCTGCTTGCTTCAAGTCTTTGACAACTAGGACCCATCCATGTTAAATCATGTGTAAAATTCACCCCAGATTTTACAGAATGAAAATAAATCTTAATACTTCTCAGTATTGATTGTATTTGTTAATGGTAGCTTGGATATATGGAGTTGAGAAATTGTTTAGGGAGTAGGGAGAAGGTGTGTGTGTGTGTGTGTGTGTGTGTGTGTGTGTGTGTGTGTGTGTGTGTGTGTATGTATCTTCTTGCATGTGTGTGCTGTGTATACACACACATGTGGAGGTCAGAGGTCAACATCAGATTTCTTCCTCAATTCTCTCCATGTTATTTTTGAGATGGGGTCTGTCTGAACTGCCTGGTCTAACTAACATGGGAAGCCACAGGGACCCTCCCGCCTCCACCTCCCAAGGGCTGGGATCACAGATGTGTGTCACCACACCCAATCAACAATCATGTTATAAGAATTCGTTTTTGCTGTTTTGAGACGTAGCCCAGGCTGGTCCTCCTGCTTCAGCCTTCCAAGCGTTGGGATTGCAGGAGTCCATCACCACACCCAGCGATTGGTTTTTGTTTGGTTGGTTTTGTTGTTTTTGGATGCCAGGGGAGTGGGTTTGTAGGGACACCCCCAACTCCCTTTTAAAGACGTGGTTTCAGTGGCACAACATCTAACACACTTGTGCACAAACATCCAACCCCTCCTGCGCACAGCCCCGGCCTCCTGCTGGGAGCCATGACGACTGTCTCCATTTGCTTCCCTACAAAGCCACACTGCAGTCAGCACAGGAACGCCTTGACCTTCCCGAAGGGCCACACATTCCAAGAACCCTTCCCATCTCTCAAGCACTTAAAAAGCAAAACACACTGTTACTTCACAAAAGAGTTTCTGCGAATGAAGTTCATTGGTAACAAATCCATGAGAAGTAACCAAGAAGTAAAGGCACACACAAGGCAAAGTCTTCATCGGGTTCTACAACACATGCAGAGGTCGGAGGACAGCTACTCAGAACCAGCTCTCCATCTGCCGTGTGTGTGTGTGTCCTGGGATCAAACTCAGATCTTCCGGCTTGGTGGCAAGCGCCTTGACCCTCTGAGCTATCTCACTGAGCCCATTTACTTATTTAGAAACAAGGTCTTGCTATGTAGCCCAGGCTGGCCTAGAACTTGTGGTCCTCCAGCCTCAACTGGTGTGCTCCAGCATGCCTGGTTCACATTCACTAACCTCTGAGAAGAGGTCTGAAATGGACTGAAATCCACGTGTGCACTACGGCCTGAATGGCTTCTCACTTCCAGGGTCTGTGTGGATCCACTTCTCTTCACTCACTTAGCAAGGACGTACTGAATCCCCAGAGAAGACAGAGGAGAGTGCCAGCATCCTGTGTCCCACTGATGGGTCATCTCTGGCTCCTGGGCACTTGACCCCTCACTAGTGTATGAGAAACTTCTAATTAATTGAAACAAAAATCTGATATTCAATTCGGGTACTAGAACATTGTGGAGCACATTGGAAACAATAGTGCCTGCCTCCTCCCTAAATCTAAAGACAAATAAAAATTTTTCAATGAAACTTTAGGGTCCCAATTGAAAAAACTAGGAAGGTGTGGTGGTGCACACCTGTAATCCCAGCACTTGGAAGGTGGAGGCAGAAGAATCAAGAGTTCAAGCCCCCCCACACACACACACA